AGTAAAAATAATGTTATTGAAAGTTGTAAATTATCTCATTAGAAACATTTAGGCGAAAACCTCATCGAAATCTGAGTTATAACAAAGAAGTTATGACTTACTGAAGTTTCACGAAAGAACCGACACGACGCCATATGACGTAAAAAGTGAGTTTACGATAAACTACTTTTTAGCCTTAGTGATCTAAATGAAGGTCATAGTATTCGTTAAACCGATAATTTTCATAAAAAGAACGTCCAAATATGACTTCGTATGAGGAAGTTATGATTTTTCTAAGAATCAGCATAACAGTATTCAGCCTGAAACACGAAATAAAGATCAAGTGATTTTTAGCCGACACAACCGAAACGAGAATCGAAGATCTCGTCAATAGTAGTACAACGGTAAAAAGACAAACGAAAACAGATGTCGGATGAAGAAGTTATGAATTCGTAACGTAATTTTTCTATCCCGACCTATTAAAAATATAACTTTAAAAATGAAGTCAAAATTAGCCGACAGAGTCTAAACTAAAGTTGTAGAGCATAATTTCACCTACGCGTGCATATAAAGAACGTCGAAAACGGAGCTCGTATGCGAAAGATACAAATTTTTGAAGTTTTGGGCACAAACTTCGAGGTTGGTCCGAAGGTGTACGCCTATCGTACTCGTGTAAGTGCTCCGGAGTCCGTCACCCTCCCTACTCCTCCACATCAGTGCCACGTGTCGTAGCCTTGACGCGTCCGAGCTGATCCATTCCGTACGCCCAACGTACGAAGTTACGCCCAACGAAGAAGTCTGCGAGGCAGCACGCCAAGTGTACCGGAGAATTACGCCCAGCGTAATACGAGCCCTCGGGTACTATAAATAGAAAGCGAGGTTCTCCGAATTTTGGCTACAAATTTCACTCTCATTTACCTTCTACTTTCTCTCAAATTACCCTAACACCTCCCGAAGCCTAGAAAACATCCCCGACACCCGAAGCAAGTCCCGACGCTCCAAAGACCCAAGAAAATAATATTTTCAAGTTGAAACTCTGCCCGCGCAAGGTCCGATTTTCAACTAAAATCCTCGGTTTCGTCAAAGAAAGTCATTTTTAGAGGCGAAGTGCTGCCCAAATAATTATTTTATCAATCGGTTATTTCACGGTGAGTTCAATATAGGGACAATTGTATGTTATGTGTTATATGTGCAATGTGTTTTCCCGTGTTGTTATGATAATGAGCTATACCTTTGACCACGAAGTGAATGACTAAGCATCACTTGGGTATTGGTATGTAGCCTTTGACCATGAAGTGAATGATTAAGCATTCCTTTGGCATTGGCAGAAGGCTAGGTAGGGCTGAAAAGCCTGTAAATTGCTAGCAAAATGTTTATTCAGAAATCGTTTATTTATCCATGCCACACTACTACAAAACGTTATATAGGACTCGCTAATTAGGACCCGGTTTTTGGAAAAACCGGGTTATATTATGAAAAAACCGGGATCTAAAAGGGGATAAGCAATATGACCCGGTTTATCTTGAAAAACCGGGGTATATGTTATACTTAAGTAACCCGGTTCCTAGCATAACAACCGGGACTTTTTGTTGTATATGTATATGACCCAGTCCTGAAAAAACAACCAAGTTCTATTAGTGTTACTAAGAGACAATGCATGTGTTCTAGAATACTATATTACTCATTTAAAAAAAACAGGTTATTTGACTTTTTTTTTTATAAAAACTCCATATAAACAGTGGCCATATCACCCCTATCTTGCTGACCGAAATGCTCATTTATATTCCAATCAGTCAAGTTAATGCTCATATCTTGTTTCTTTTTTATATCAATTTTTTCTCATCTAGAACACAAGTAATCACTCATGTGATGATTATATTGCATATTGTATTATTATTTGTATAGGCATCGGTTTTTTTTATAACAATTGATGTATAGACATCAGTTTACTTTCATGTATATATTACTTTTGCCCAATGATGTAGAATTACATGAAAACATAGTCAAGTTCAATAAATTACATCAAATTAAGGCTATATACTAAAAAGAATTGAACTTAGTTCACAAAATATGTCCTCCGATGCACTTCGATGATTATAGATATAACACCAATTCTGCATCAGTTACCCTCAATCCCTCCATTGATATTGTTGTAGCTGAAACACCAAAACCATAAACAAACATCATAAACCCCACATGTCAACAAGTAGATATATACATTTTCAACATGTTACATAATCTTGAGTTAAGTGAACAAGGTTTGGTTACACATCAGGAACAGTCAGAGACATAATGTTAGGGAAAGGGTAAGGGCTATCTAAAATTGGAATCTCTAACTTATTATCATTTAGATCAGACAATAATGGAGGAGATCAAGCTCACACAACCATGGGAACATATGGAATAATCTATAATCCAACAACCAAACAATAACGAAGATTGATCTAACACAACTTTACCAGGTAACCACTTTCTGCACTGAGTATTTTAGGCTAAATTCATGCCCCATCTGAACGGCTAAATGAAAGCAGGGGCAAAATCGTCCATAATTCCCCACCACATGGGCTGAAGTCTTATTGATGTATGTCAAGTTGAAATTGTTATATTTCATTGATTGTAAATCTTTGAATCAGATTATTCGTTGATATGGAAAGTCTGTCATATGATACTCATCTGTCTTTGTTGTTCTTTGTCCATCTTTGCTTCTGTCATATATATATATATATATATATATATATATATATATATATATATATATGACATAACGTTATATTGTAACTGTTATTAAACTCACTAAGCGTCACCCGCTTATCCCTCTCAGTGTTTAATTATTGCAGGTGATAAGCATCCGGTATAGTTATGTACTGTAAGAAGATGTAGAATAAATGATATTATAGCTTTTGTATTTAGTGTATAAATTCTTAGGAAAATATGTAATATATAAAACTTTGTAAAAAGCTCGTTGGTCGGTTTGTATCCAGTCTTTTGTAACAAGACCATATATCTAAAATATGTTTATGAATATGCATGTAGTATGTTTGGTGTAATAATGTTAATTATGAAAGGGGTCTTTCAGAAGGGAATTGAGGCACACACAACTATCGGAGAGAGAGAGAGAGAGAGAGAGAGAGAGAGAGAGAGAGAGAGAGAGAGAGAGATAAAAATTGTATTAGGAAGGTAAGTTAGTCTTTTCAGTTTTCCGAGAGACTACATATGCAATGAAAGAAGCTTAAACGAACCATTTATCCAAAAAAAAAATAAGGTTTGGATGTATTTCTTTGAAAAATGCAAACCATAAGAACCAATTTCTTTGGGTTTTTTTTTTTTTTTTTTTTTTTTTTTTTGTAACAAATAAAGTTTTTATAAAATAAGTCTTTTCACAGTTACTCTAACCATCCACAATATAAAACCATGTGTTTCTATTTTTTCCGGTTGGTGCTTTGGGATACAATTTATTTAGCCTGCTGTTTATCGATGATCATATATCTATATCCTTGAACAATTGATAGTAATTCTACAAGAGAAACTTTAAAAGAATTTTTTTTTAATCTTATTACAGTTTAATTTAGCAAACAAAAAGTAAAAATCAATGTCCTTTTATCGGGTGCTTTAGGCTTTTAGCATAAGTGTTTACATAATTAAGATACGACCAATGAAACAACCTTTTCTTTTATTTGTACATATCTACATATACAAAAAGCATTATCTTATCCATAATCTTACAATACTTTTAGTGTCGGGAGAAAGCGACTTGATGACATCAACGCCAGGTTATCACAATGTTTGATAGCAAGAAGCCACAACTACAACTAAAGATTTTATCGTATTGCATTGATTATTTCATAGTTGCCGATTAAATCAAATCTGATTGAGTGAGTATATTGAGTTGGACATAACTTTTTATCAGACCGATAAAAAACCTATCAAAACTATAAGATTAAATCAGACCCAACTAATTGTGGTATCAAATGGACACTGAATCAGACTCAATCTTTGTCCTCTTTTGAGACTTAATAAGAGACATATCTAACAAACTTTTAAGAAAAAGTATAATATACATTGGAAATACTCATACATGAGCTATTCAACAAAAATATAATGTATATATATATATATATATATATATATATATATATATATATATATATATATATATATATATATATATCTTCTGTATTCTAATAAATTAATAGGTTTATTCTCATATTGATAAGTGTCATTATATTAAAACTCCTCATTAATATTTTATATCCCTTATCATGCCACTTGTCAATATATTAATTATCAATTTTAAATTTTAAATTTTAAATTTCTCACCGTAGTTACTTTAAATTTTAAACTTTTTCACTTTAATTATATTAAATTAATATCATTAGATTAAAAAATAAAATAAAATCAATACAAATTATAAGGTGATATAACGTATTTATTCAAATCAACATTTATAATTTTATATAACTAAAAAAATATCTCTTTAAGCAATAATTTATTTAAAATAATTGATTAATAATTTTAATTTTTTAAAATGAATGCTCAATTAATTTTATAAACAAGTTTCTTACGGGTTATAGTCTAGTATATATATATATATATATATATATATATATATATATATATATATATATATATATATAGAGAGAGAGAGAGAGAGATAGAGAGAGAGAGAGAGAGAGAGTTAGGCTATTATATTCTAACTATTTATTGTATGCATGTAAAATTGATTTTGGACCAATAATTTTAGTTATTGTGTGCATGAGTATTAATTAAATCTTCAACATTTAATATGTATTAATTACTTTTTTAAAATAACTAAAATGATTGGTCTAAATTGAAAACTTATCTGCACACAATAAATAGTAGAACCATTTAAACCTAACTCTCTTTCTCTCTCTCTCTCTCTCTCTCTCTCTATATATATATATATATATATATATATATATATATATATATATATGTTTGTGTGAGTATAATAATTCATAATTTAATATTTTTATATAAATCATCGTGAATTTTGGAATTAGATAAAAAAATTAGTTACAAGATGGAAAACAATATTTGCACAAGAAATAATATTACATAAAGAGTCAATATAACAAAATTTAATAAATAATTAGGGCATCTAATGGAAGATGAATCCCCGGAAGCAAGATGCGCATACAAATCCAACAATGCCTCCAATGAATCCTGACTCACATTGCCTGCTTTCGATTTTATGCTTCCAATACTGAAAACGAAAATGAATATATAAAAATATAATATAGTAATAGATAAATATATAAAAAGTAAATTAATATTTTTTTGTATTTAATCCCATAATAAATGTTACCTTCGCATAGAAGGACAAAATATGATTGTGTAGTCAGTAGCATCCATACACGTAAAAGTACTCGTAGCATCATCATACGCATAGCTATACGACTTCGGGCAAGCTAATTTGAATACCTCTGAGTACGCAGTCGGCCGACAAGCTGCCGGCGAGTCAAAGGCATCTTTGCAACAAAATTCCGGCGTCCCAAACGTGTCGCAAGCGCTCTTACACCCTCCACCATCTGCCACCTTCAACTCGCTTGGACACCGCCGGTTCAAGTCATCGACGCAGCCGGTTGTCCCACAGTCACCGGACCCACCACTCGCCTCCACGATCATCTGCAGATTGTACCCATCAACAAGGCTGACGTCGTAGAAGTCCTGTGTACCGGACCCGAGAGTGAACTCCGCAAGGGTGGCGGGTGGGGTTGCTCCGGCTCCGTTGCATTCCATTTGTCCCGAACCACAGTCTCCTGTAACGCATGATCCTTGACCCAATCCGTCGAAGTTGCAGCGGGTTCTCCCCCAGAACCTGCCGGACCACCCTGCCGGAGCTTGTAGTGAACGTGATTTACCCTCCGGGAGCTCGAATCCGGTGGTGTCGAGAGCTGGGGTGCCTAGTATCCCTGGCCATACTGTGTAGTCACACTTGTTTGAAAATGTAAAGGTAGCCCCGAAAACACCTGCAATAACGAACTCATTGTAATGAATACAAGCTTCACACAAATGGAATGTCAAAATAGTGTGATGGAGATACATATAGGCATTGGTTTACCTTTGAGAACGAAGAACATGAGAAATTTAAGAACGAAATCGGAGTGACCCATGAGAATTTTTTGTGAAAAAATGTGAGTGTGTAGAGTTAATGGCGATGAAATTGAAGAAGAAGAAGAAGAAGGAGGGTGAAGGGGGTGTTGAAGGGTAGAGATGGGATGGTACTTATAGAGTGATGTCGTGCGTGAATGATGACACGACGGAGTGCGCTGATGATGTGGAAGGGCCATTTTCTGACTGTTTTGATCTTCATTCCAATTTGTAGAAATTAGACACCACTTGTTAGTAATGCTATTTTTGTCTGATTTTGGTTTAATTATTTAACATAAATCATGAATTTCAGTTGAGATCATTAACGTTATCTTATTGTTATCTAAATTAGATACGTGATGTCGGTGAAGTTGTTAGGATTAGAAAAATAAATAATATTATTTTGATGTTAGTGTTTATATAAAAGTAAACCAATCCCCGTGCGTTGCACCAGAATAGAATTATATAGTTAAAATAATAATTTTTATTAAGTTCTATTTTAATATTTCTACTTTAAAACAAAATGTTAGTAGTAAAACAAACATATAGTTAACATATTAGTTTTATTAAACATTATAGTTTAATTTTTAAGTCATTGTGATGTATACAACTATTTAATAATTTTATAAACCGTTTAAAATTGTGTAAATTATATATCAAATGAGTGATAATATAACGGGTAACAAAACGTATGAACAAAAATATGAATTGCAGCTCTAGTAACACAAAAATAGAAAAACATCTATTATAACATTTGTATATATATATATATTATAGATATATATATATATATAGATATATATATATATATATATACACACACACACAAAAAAAAATCATAAAAATTATGAAAAATAAACACTATAACTTTTAATAACATAAAAACACTAAAACATCTATAACATTTATATTAACTCTTTATATTTAATCACAAATCTCTTCATATATATTAATGTTTTTAATGAGCAAAACTTTACAATCTTATAAAAGAAAAGAAAATAAAAAGTTATTAGTGATTACTAATTAATAATCATAAGTTAGAAACTCTTGAGTTGTAACTAATAAATATATACATAAATTAGAAAACTTTTGAGTTGTAGTGTGAATTTCAAATGAATGCGGTACTTGCAAATGTGTATTTATTATTATTATTATTATTATTATTATTATTATTATTATTATTATTATTATTGTTATTGTTGTTGTTGTTGTTGTTGTTGTTATTATTATTATTATTATTATTATTATCATTATTATTATTATATTTGTCTAAATAATTGGTTTTGATGCATCATTTTAATCCCTTCAATTATTAAACATAAAGATATTTAATTATAAATTTATAACATACATAGGTGCATATACATGTTAAACAAATCACATATAATATATATATTTTCGTAAATGTCAAATGTAATTCTTGTCGTAGTACTATGAATAAATTACTTTCATATGAAGAATATATCATAATAACTCTATCATAATTACATATCAAATGTTAACAATTATGTTATCTTTTAAATATTGTCTTTTAAATATGTTGTGTAGGATAACACAACAAAAAATAATAGAAAATAAACATAATCAAAATAGAAAAACTACAATCAAATAAAGAAGAGCATTGGGTGGTTGAATATATAAATAAAGATGTTACATAAACATACATTTAAATCAAAAGAAAAAACTAATATTCGTCAACTTTGCTCAAACAAAAAAACCTATATCCGTTTTCTGAATCTTCTTTCTTCATTTAACACCATTCAACCATAGAAACTTGATGACAATTCTTCATTAACCTGCAATCAAAATATTTTTCTTGAAAAAGAAGAATCAGAAAGATATTCCAAGCAAAACATTGATGTTCGGAGAGTCACATTCAATATTAAGTAATACACACAAATCACATATAAAGATTAAATGAGATACTGAATATAAAGAAAGAATAGAAAAGCTTCATTTGTTTTGGTTGAAAGAAAAAATCATATTACAATTACCATCGATGCGACATAACCCATTTCTTCAAATCATCATATGTGGATCGTGAATGCTTCAACTATATGAAAACTTTTGAATCACAATATCTTCAACCAAATGACGACTTTTTGTAAGAAAAATGTACAAATATAAGTACATATATAATAAGAGAATGCAAAAAAGTTATTGGAAATTTATAAATACTATAAATGGTTTTAGTTAAGGAATATATAAAGTTATGTAGGTTTCAACAATATGGTTTGAGAAAACAAAATATCTCTAAACATATGATTTTGAATGGTATGGTTTGAGAAAACAAAATATATGTAAACATATGATTTTGAATGGTCTTATTTATATTACTGGAAAAAAAAATATAACACGATCAAATTATGAGTAAAAAATGAAACATTCATCCACAACCTTGACTTGTAGAGCTCTTTTAGGGACTCCACCACCGCAAATACGTTCTAAAAGAAATTGTGCCTATTGAAAAATTTTCTTTTCATTTTCTTATGACATCCTTCTTACATGTAAGATTTTATATAACACAAAAGACACAAAAGATTGGCCTTTTTATAGTAAACTTTTCACTAAATGCTAATTAAACATAACGTAAGTTATAAAACTTTTGAGTGTTAAATCATAATTAAGATAACTTTTGAGTTGCATTAGTTAAAAAAGGGGGTTTCAAATTAATGTGGTTTGAGGAAGTTAAAAAAGAGGGTTTCAAATGCATGAGATTCAAGAAAAAATGCTAGCTTTATAAGTATGTATGACTAGTTTATAACCCGTGGGAACCACAGTTATAAAACTAATTAATTTTTCATAGTAAAAAATTCAAAATTATTAATCAATTATTTGAATTAAATTGTTAATTAAGAGATATTTTTTTAGTTATATAAAATTATAATCATTGATTTAAATAAATACATGACCTTATAATTTGGATTAATGTTATTTTAATGTTTATTTTAATGTTATTAATTTAATGTAATTAGAATGAAAATTTTGAAATTTGAAATGGAGAACCAATAGATTGACAAGTGGCATGACATTAATTAGGGGACCTAATAGGATGACACATGACAAAAGGAGAATAAACCTATTATTTTATTAGAATAGGGATTATGTTAGTTTTACATGATGATGAATGTTTTAGAAGTCATATGGAAAAAATTAAACATATAAGTATATATATATATATATATATATATATATATATATATATATATATATATATATATATATATAATTCATTAATATTTGGATAATACTTGAACCTAATAGATTGTCTGTAGTTATATGACTAGGAAAAAAATATAACATTTGGATAATACTTGAACCTAATAGATTGTCTATAGTTATATGACAAGAAAAAAAACATTCATTTAAAAATAACTAGCAACGAAACCGTATAGATGGTTTCTATACGGTTCCGTTCCTAGTTATTTGTAAATGAATATTTTTTTCCCGTTTCAATGTATTAGGGATGGATAACAACGAAATAGCAATAGATTTCCAATATGAATTTCTTTTTGTGTACAAATAATTTCAGACCTGGCTTGACGATGCAGGCATATGCGGTCGTACAACACGACCTCTTTAGGGTCGGTCCTATTTTATGAAATTATTAATTAATATGTATATATTTTTTCTTTTTTTCAACTGAATTTAGTAAATGTCAAATTGATATTTAAATCTTTTGGAGGGAAAGCAAAACCTTACAATAAGGTCGAAGGGTATGTATATCTCAACAATGGTCGTGGTTTCTTCCCATCTCGACCTCAATCTCCTTCCTAATCACCATTGTCTCCTTCCACAATGGTGTTGGTGTACCTGCAACAAGAAGAAGAGAGAGGAACAAAGAAGAAAGAGAAAATAGAGGAACAGAGAAGAAGAGATCATTTATTGTGGTTTCTTGTGGTATAAACCATACGAGGCCATGATTATGGCTCCACTGATGTCACCAGGAGACTTCCAGAGCTATGTGTATGGTGGTTGCTCTCATCCAATTCGTCACCATGATACCTTCGTGATGAGTTTTATTGGTTATAAATATACATATGAGGCGGAAAAGTACTTAACTCTTAAGTTCGCATGCAACCTATTTGGATCTATATTTTCTCTATTGATAACAATAAACTATGAACATCAAGAACCCTATCAAACCCTAGGTAATTTTGAAATTACAAGAGAGTTAGGGTTTACATACCTTTTGATTATTATAACAAATAACCAATTCAAATTCTTCTTCAAAAGCCTTGGAAAGTAAGCACCATAAATCTAATGTCTCTAATGATTTGTTCCCAAACCCTAGCAATAAAAAAACTTGAGGAGAGAGGAGAGGGGATGAAATTAGTAGTGGATGAAAACTAGTTGGCAATGGGTCCTATTTATAGCTGAACTAAGGAACCCTAGAAACCCTAATTCGATATCAAACTATTATTTCAAATTTGGTACGTACCCAACTCATTAATTATCTTTAATGATTAATCTAGAACCCTTAAAAGGCTCTCCAAAATCGTCCACAAACCATGGAAAGTTCTGGAATCCCTCTTGTTTAATTAATACTAAAATTAATTTCAATTAATTTCTGATTATTTATTAATTAAATAATACTATTTATAATTAATATGTTAATCTCATAATATATCAATAAATTATTTATTGCTATTTATTAATCATATAATAAACCAATAAATCAACCCCTCTTTCCAAAAGTCATTCTATAAAATTACAAGTTTTGAGGGAAACCCAAAAAGGACTTTACTTCCATTTGCAACTTTATATCAATTTAGTTATGATCTTAGACATCTTAATACAATAGTCTACCACTTGGATAAGTCTATAACTACAATTGCAAGTATAACAAAACAGCAAAGAGTACTTCCCAAAGGAGCTGTCAGACTTTAATCTAATCTGACATTGGCCCTAAGATAAGTGATCAACTATTCCTTCGCTCTTCAAGATATCGTATGGAAACGAGACATGGAACATAATCAGTCTCATTGTCCAAGATTATGTTTCCCTATTTCCCGATTTGTGATGACGTCATTAGACTACTAATTGAACACATCCAAGGTTGTAGAACTCGCTACTCGGTAACTGATCGACCAACTGCCGAGTAGCGAGTACTCGGGGAGTACTCGAATTCTGTAATTCATGTAGAAATATTTTTAGGGAAATTATATATGTCAAAATTATAAGTTAAAATCATAAGTTG